AGACTAAAGCAGACTACTAAGGAAATTCTAGATCCAGATAATGACATATTAGTGAATTCCTGAGTTTTCTCTTTTACTCTAATAAGAGTCGGTCTTGAATTAAATTGATGGAAATGTAAAAATCTCAAGAGGTACACATGTTTACCCACACACAGAAAAAGAGAGAGAGAGAGAGAGAGAGAGAGAGAGAGAGAGAGAGAGAGACAGACAGACAGAGAGAGAGACAGAGAGAGAGACAGAGAGAGAGACAGAGAGAGAAGCAACATTTTACTGTTTACCAAAATAAGATAACAATTTCAGTACAGAAAACTTTAAGGCTATTATCACTTTTAGCCAATCACACAAAACAACAACAAAAAGATCCCCATTCTCTACCCAGGCTAGCAAAGCCTTAGTGGAAAAGTACCTACACTTCTAACTTCATCAAGCTATGACAAGATTCTTTAAACTCTCCATTAAAGACACGTCAGTAAATGATCAAGTGGGGCCCCAGATTTTCATGCTTGTGTGGCTGTGATTGACTATCATCTATCACTTGAATTACCATTAAAGATGACAGAGGCTCTGAGATTTCTACCCCACTCAGCCATGACAAACATCCTTATGCCAGCATTCTAGGATTGTACCAGAGTAAGCAAAATGGAAATGCTAACATCACCTAGCAATACAAAACCCTGCTCCTTTTCCACCAGATGTCAGCGGTAGCCAAGTGGGTAACAGGTACCAGGCATTCCTCTCCCTCTCTTACAGGCAGCTAACAGTGGAAGTCTAGGAAATAAAACTCCAGCTCATGCCCAGAGTAATGAGGAGTCTTGCGTATTCAGTTTTACCTGAGACCCACAAGGAGCATGGACTTTTCTTGCACTTGATATTAATTCTGTCTCCACTTTCCCTTCTAAAGAAAGACTAGAGAAGTCAACTAAACCAAAGGTGTAAATGAGATCCAGTCTCAGTGCATATTATCCAAAATGTTTAAATTTACATTGCAAATTACTTGCTATACTAACAATCAGAAAGATTTCAAATGAAATGAAAAACAGACAGTCATTAGATGCCAGTACCAAGGAAAGCAAAAGGACACAATAGGCAATAGAGTAAATTGTGAAGTAAATTTTATATCTTACACAAAAATGAACTCAAAATATGTATTCTATATTTAAACATAAGACATAGAAGTATTTATAGAAATTTTCAAAATCATGTGCAACATAATCTTTGAAGTTTAGGAGAAGGAAACAATTCTAGACTAAAGAAACAGTTCTTAGACTGAATAGTAAAAATTCAGTTCCATTAAGGAAAACATGATAAACTGGGCTTCATTAAAATTGAAATCTTTTACTCTAAAAAAGGTTTGATAAGGTACTCAAAAGGTAAATTGTAGATTGGAGAAAATATTTGCTCGCTACTGGTAAGATAATTAATTATTAATATTTAATAATAATATTTAATATGTAAACCTAATGGTACTCTAGAAGTAGTCAAAAATACTACTTTAAAAGGAGCCAAATGTATGAATGGACATTTCACTGAGTAGGATATGCAATAAACACAAGGAACTATGGAATACATCACTAATTATTAGGGGATAAGAACAGCCACAATAAAATATTCCCATAATACGACTAAAAAATATTAAAAACTCTAAATGCTATTAAGGATGCCAAGAAACTAGATCACTTGGAATTTGTTAGCAGAATATATTTTAAAAATGTGTGCTTGGAAAACTCTTTGAGAGTGTATTTTGAAAAACTAAGCAAGTGACCACCTTTGGACATAGATATTCCCAAGAAATGAAGATCATCTATAGATGAATCCTAGTAACAAGTTTTAATCATAATAAGTCAAAACTGGAAACAACAGAGGCAAGTGAGGTATTACTTAGGATAAGTGAATGACCCACAAATGCGTTCAGTGACATGGGGCAGTCTTCAGAAAGTGAAGCTTGCTGGGGATTTAGCTCAGTAGTGTAAGTGCGTGTAGGCGGTGTAAGTGTGTTTGTGAGTTTGATTCCTGGTATAAAAAAATTAAAATTCAATCATTAATGTTATCTCATTTATATATTTCTATCTGCATCATGTAGCCATGAGATAAATTTCTTTAATTGGATTAAAGGGGAAAATGTACAGGTTATTATCCTGCTATCAAGAGGTGCTTTTTGCTTCATCCTCATAATCTACCATCTGATGTCACGCGACTAAGACAGAAATGGCACTGGATCAAGACTGGTAAAGGTTAGTTAAGTCAAAGTCTGGGACAATTGTTATCAGATTAAACTGAACCAATCATGTTCTCTGTGTTGAAAATTATACGCATACACACACACACACACACACACACACACACACACACACACATTCACTCACTCACCCTTAAACATAAGCACGCACTAGGAATAGGCTGTGTGTTCACTATGAAGTTACCGTGTATAAACTTGAACCCATCCTGTTCTCCTTGGCACTGATGTGCTGCTCTGTGTGTGCTGAACACAGGAGTTTTTCTCCTCTGGCTCCCAGTCCCAGTACATAGAGGGAGCCAAATAGAGACCAAAAAGTTGAGCAAGGTCTTGCTGTTTGCTTCTAAAGGTATCAACCTACACAGCTCTTGTTTCCATTTTGTGCCATTTTCTGTGTTCCCAGAAAGAGTTTACGTGCCTGTTTTCCCCAGTGATACAACATTTATCAGGCTGGTATCCTTTCCTCAGAGCTGAAATCTCAGCTCTGTCCATGAATTCCCTTCTTATTCTTTAGGCTGTAACACTGGCTGACAAGCATTCTTCACAAAATACTAAGCCTCAGCCTCACGGTGCCCCAGTCTGAGCTTCTGGGTGGTCAGTCAGGCACCTGGTAGCTTCTATTTGGCGTAATTCCTAGCTCTGTGCAAAATTCATGCTGAACTTCCAAAGTTCCACTACATTTTGGGGAATACTGTCTCTCAAGACTCCTGGGAGCCTATTCCTCGTGCATGCTTATGTTTAAGGATGTGTGTGTGTGTGTGTGTGTGTGTGTGTGTGTGTAATTTTCAACAGAGAGAACCTGATTGGGACTGTTGAAATTTAGAATACTGAAGAAAGGGCTTTAGCTCTTGCTCATGGGCAAGGAAAAGTAGTAAGAGGAGCAAATACAAGAAAGCTAAGAAAAAGATTAGAAGAGAAGAAGGAGGAGAAGGAGGAGGAGAAAGATAAGGAGAAGCAGAAAGAGAAACAGGAGAAGGAAAAGGAGGAAGAGGAGAAGAAAAAAAAGAAGGAGGAGGAGAAGGAGGAGGAGGAGAAGAAGAAAAAAGAGAAGGAGGAGGAGGAGAAATGAATCAAATTCAGAGAGAAATGGAGACGCTTCCAAACAGGGTAAAATTCTGTTATTCTTAGAAATACACAAACAAGGGGCTGGGGATTTAGCTCAGTGGCATAAGCGCCTGCCTTGCAAGCAGGTGGTTGTGAGTTAGATCCTTGGTACCGATAAAAATGAAAAAGACAAAAAAAAAAAAATACACAAACATTTAATGGATTTTCTAGACCTGATTTTTGTCTTGCTTGCTTGATAACCTTGTCTCAGGTCCAGTCTATGTATGTTTCCAGAATTATTCTGCTTTTTACTTGGCCCATAAAATGAATATTTCATTTCAGTTAATTAATCAGGTGCCTAGGAAAGCAGCACTGTCCTCTAGCTAGACTGGAGGATTACACCTGCAGATTAAGAAGACTGAATCATCACTTGAGTTTAAAAGAGGGAAAAACAAGCTGCACCTTTTTCTCTGTTATTGGTGCACATTCCACTGAGTGTCTTGTGCCTTGTCATTATCACATGGTTGCAATCCATGCTCTGCCAACTCCCTGTCTTACGTCCTGTGGGATTCTCAAAGCCAAGTAGTCTCCATGTGGAAACATTAGCACACAGTACCTTCCATTTAGTCTAATCTGCATATTGCAATGGGGTGGGTAACAGAAACAGTACCTGTCCTCCAGGAAGACAACTTGAGTTGTAAATGTAAAAGGAGCAAACCAGAAAAATACAAATGTTTACACAAAAATGCATCTGTTACTATCTGCTCCTCCCTTTGCCCTAGGATCACTTGTAGCATTTCTACTCACACTTTGAAATCATCATGAATATGTCAAATAAATATTCACCAGAATTAAAACACCAAATAAAGATCTCTCCTGTGACTGCAATGGGACTTAATTCCATTGCAATTTGTTCATCTTCTTCCTTTTCCACACAATGAAAGTCTGCAAGTCAGGGAACAGATTGCTTGCATTTCACAGAACTGGAAGCCTACTTTTCCTAGGCTTGAGGAAACCTTTGCTCCCTGTAGTGCAAAACTTAGCTACAGAGGATGCCGTGACCCATGCCCAGCTGACACACTGCCCTTTGTTTTGAGTTATTTGGTCTTTAATTCTTCCTCACCAGTACATTCAAGCAGCTATACCTTTTCCAACAGCCCGTCAGAGACTATTTTCATACTGTCATCAAACCAGCTTTTGCAATCTCACCAATTTTTCAAAAGGAGAATAAAATGTCAGCCACCTCCTCTAAGCACTTTGTTTCACATTAATAACCCAACCAGTACCGCTGTTTCAGAAAAAACAAATGATGCAAGAGGACATCGCCTTTGTTTGCTTCTTGCATTCTCCATCCTGAGCAGGCCAATTTACCACTCTTTGGACATGCAGGGCAAGGTACAGATACATCTGTTTGAGGAAGAGTTTGACTTCCACCTTTCCACATAAATCACCACTAGTAAAAGTTTTATAAGGTGCATGGCTTCAGCCTTTTGTAACTGACTGAGCCCAAATAAACAAGATGAAATAGACATTTAGCCATATGCTGGCCACCAGATGTGTGTGTGTGTGTGTGTGTGTGTGTGTGTGTGTGTGTGTAGCAGAGGGAAGAGATGCTGTCTGCTGCACCAAAGGAACATTATAATTACCACAAATGTAATTTGCAACCCCACAGTCATTTGATCTCTGAAATATTCTAATAGAGTAAATTAGATTTCTCACTTACCTGTCAAAATTGCCCATGGATTGGTTTCCCTGCTTGTCAAATGTGAATCCAGTTCATGTATTGAGATTTCAAAGCAGTTTCAGGACGTGTCCATATTAGTAAAATGTGCAGGTTATCCTTGGTCTCCCCCAAAACTCCTAGATAAAACAGAATAACAAAGAAAATCAGGATCATATAACACTCATGGGACACTAGTTGTGATACTCATAGTTCACACTAAAAAATAGTTTGACCATTCTTATAACAGAAAGTGGAGAAATGTGCTTTCTTGAGCAACCATACTATCCCTTGTAATGGTTTTGAAATTATAGTTTCATCTTGTATAAATATGAGGTAAAACTCAATTGATTTGAGGCTGGATAGAACAGATTGGACTAAAATCTGCTGAAAGAAGCAGGTAAGTGTGCATCCTGGAAAATTTGACATTGAGAATTATCAACATCCTGCTGATGTACAAATTTATTTTATGTGTATTATTTTATCATTCACCATGATATGCTTTCAAAACACTTATTATCTTTGGTCTGACGGATGTTTTTATTAGCATCTTCGAAATCATAGAAGAAGGTGTCTAAGCGGGGTAGCAGATGTTAAGACCAGTTAGTGGAACTTACTGTTCCTCTCCTTCCTTAGATAGAGAAGGCATAGATTGTGATTGTATTTTGTTATAATAAATAATGTAAAAGTATTTTGTATACTGTATTTGTCTCAAAGCAGAAACATTATAGCCACTTGTGCATTGAATTGTGGTGCATTTCAAGGAAAACTGAAAGTAAGTTTTATGTCACAATACATCACGATTATAGCTACATTTCTTAATGATCATTGCATAAAATTCAGGGAAGGCCCCATCTTTTGGAGTAAACTCCTAAATAAATGTCCAGCTGACCAAACCACAAGGAAATTGCTTAAGTCAAATATTATACAATCAAACTGAATATGTGTTATTTTTTATTTATACAGGTTTTTTTTTAATAATAAATACATTCATTGTAAGAAGTTGGTACGTATATCTGTTACAATTTATTCTTTTGTTTTAACTCCTCCTTCCTCTCCTGCTCAGTCTCTTTCTAGTTCCACAAAGGCTAACTTTCTGTTCCTTACCTTTCTATTTTTTTTTATATTTTGCTCTTTAATTTATTTAGAAATAGGGGTTCTCAGAAACCATGCAGTATTAACCTGCAGTGTTGAATGCAGTTTATTTAGCATTATAATCTCAAAGTATATTCATTTTTCTATAAATGACTTAAATTTATCCTCCTTTATGGTGGAATAAAAATCCATTTGGTGAAAATACCATATTCTCTTTATCCACCTTCTAAATTACAGCTATTGTTAGTTGTGCTGCTTTAAATGCAGGTATCCATGCATCACTGAAGTATTTGGGGAAGATACTTAACATTTCTGTAAGTATCCATAAGACGCTTTAGAAAGAAGACAATTTCCAAATAGATCAGGCATTCCAAAAGCCACAGGAAACACAACTACTACAAAAATACAATAAAAAATAGAAAAACAAAAACAAAAATAATTTAGACTATCTGAATTGTCTGAATAAAAATTCCCTCTCTTGGGGCTGGGGATTTAGCTCAGCGGCATAAGCACTTGCCTTGCAAGCAGGCGGTCGTGAGTTCCATCCCCGGTACCAATAAAAATGAAAAAGACAAAAAAAAAAAAAAAAAAAAAAAAAAAAAAATCCCTCTCTTGGGCCTTATCAGGGAAGGAACCTGACAAGTTATGGTAAGAGATCTGCTGTCTTGTTTTGAATTCCTTCCTTGTTTCTGGCCAGACTACCTTGCACAAACCAAACATTCTGCCCTGCTCATCTACTTTTATAAATGTAATGCTGCCTAATTCATGAATCTCTAAATAAAAAAAAAAAAAAAAAAAAAAAAAAAGACATATTGGATCCTCAAATTCAATTCATTGATTTTTTTTTTCTTTTATAGCATACTATTTTACTTTCCTCCTTATGTTTGTTTTGGCTTTCAATATTCACCCTATTTCTTTTGGACTCACAGCCTTTTTTTAACTAAATTGAATAATGTAATTTCCTATGCAAATAGACTTTATTAGTTTCACACTAACATTGTTTTATATTTCATGTCTTATTTTTATTTTTTTTTGGCAGGAAAGTACAGGTTTCTTTCATTTGTTTTCATTGTGTTGGCATATTTCAGATATACATAATGATAAAAGTCATCACAGGGAATTTGTACCTGTACAAAACATACCTTGCTTCTCCTTTTAATCTAGTTACCCTCCCTTCACTTCAACCTTTCTTCCTCTGACTTGCAAAACTGTTGTTTCTATGTTTTTCCTTCTACTCTATTTTATTTCTTGTTCCTTCTTTCCCTTCTCTAGTCCCCTCTCTTGTCCCCTTTTTCATTTGAACATTTTTGTCATTTCTCAGTATCTGATATACATTATAACCCTTATTTACAATTCAGGTTTCTCATACCAGAGAAACAGTGTAGCATGTAAACATTCATGCCCGATTTATTTCATTGTTTCCCTAATTTTTCTGTCTGTAAGTTTGTTATATGTGTACAGGAATTTTCAACTCTTGACAGTCTGTCACCCTATGCTACTGAATTTTATTATTAAATCTAGATGCCTTCCAGTTGAGTTTGGGGGGCTTCTATATGTAGTATCATGTCATTTGTGAATACTGATAATTTCACTTCTTTCTTTTGTATTCTTATTCCTTATATTTCTTTCTCTTGGCTAATTGCTCTGGCCAATGGTTTGAGAATAAGAGAGGTGCCAGTGGACATGCTTGTATTTTCCTTAGTTAAGAGTAGAAAGTTTTCACTTTCTGTCCATCTGATATGCTGTGGGCCATTGGTTTTTCATAGATAACTTTTATCAGATTGAGATATAAACGATCTATTCCAATTTTCTATAGGGTTTTCATCTTGAATGGGTGTTGAACTTCATTAAATGGCTTTTTTGCATCTATTGAGATGATCATGTGTTTTTTGTCTTTGGCTCTGTTGAAATGGTACATTACATTTATTGATTTTTGTACACAGAACCATCTATAGATCCCTGGTATCAGCCCTACTTGGTCATGGTTCTTCATAGAAGGAGCAAGCCAGGGTGGTGGAACACTCTTCTATCTGACCACGTGAGAGGAAGCAAGCTTTCTTTTAAAATATGAACTGCTTATCCATCATATTATCATATTAAGATTTGTCAAATGTGCCAGTTAGTGCATTTCCCCATTTCCTAAGTATGTCATCTTAGTAGGATATCAATCAGTTAGTGACAGCCTGCATATTGTACATTGTAAAATTTCCTCCCCCTTCAAATATTTCTGGGCTTTTGCTTAAATAAATATGATAGCAGATTTTTTCCAATTGCCACCAGATTTTAAAGAAACAGGTTTTGTTAATTTGTTTTCAATTTGACTTTGTTCATTTTTATGCTGTTATAGTGGGATTAATTTTTATAACATGTAACTGAAGAGAAAGATATGTAAGTTTCTTTATGCATTTCTAGATCCTTGTAGTAGATGAAAATGAAATATAATAATGCTGTGATTTATAATACAGAAGGATTAAGAGGAGGAGAAAAAGTAAGAGAACAAGAAAAGGAAGAAGATACACACTAAACATTAATTGGAAGTCCATTTAAACTGCCAAAAGTTAAATGATATTCACATTTTATCCATTTTATTCATTACGGAAAAACTGTTGTTTCAATAAAAATGTATACAACATATTTACCTATTGTCATTCTGTGGAAGAATCCTGACCAGTTTATCACTCTGCAAATTGTAAACAACTGAAAACAATACAAAATAATTTTTCTCTGCAGGCAAAGTCATACTTTGATCAACTTTCTATCCTGCCGTGATCAACTTCCTTCCTCACAAGACTATTTTTTCTCTATTTGCATGTTTGTTTCAATATTTCTCATCCATAAATGTTTCTATATACTGGATTTTCTTGGAACTAATTATACTACTCCCAGTTCTCTCCTTGATAACCTAATTCATAGAAAAGCTTTAATTATATTTATTTTATAATTATACAAGGTATAATTTTACCTTTTTAAAAATATTTTTTATACTTTTTACAGCTATGTAGAAGACAGGAATTGCTGAATATGTTTTATAGACAAGTCTTAGCAGCATCCTTTTACTTGTCTGAGGGTCACTGACATCCCCGGGGCACTTCTTCACTATTTAGCACTGGATGCTGGATGCTAGGACTGCAAAGCTGAACAAAGTTGTGTCTATCTTCAAGGTCAAGGGGACAAGAGCAAATCTTTATTGAGAGCTGCTTATAAGTAAAGGACTTCCCTAGATATGCAGGAGTGAAAAAATTCAATAAATCCTCACTATCACAAACTCTTTGCTGTACGAAATACTGAACCCAAATACATTCAAACTATTCTCCTTACTATCTGAGTTCACTCTCTGAACTCTGGCTAACTAAATTGAAGAACCTAATACATGTGCAGAGGGAGAGATACTTGATTACTATCTTTTAATCCTGAAAGTCACCTTGTCAGGGAAGGAGTCTTCCCATTTTTATAGATAAGAAAAATGAGGCTTGGAGAAAGTTACATTAAAAAATATCTGTGGTATTCTAGGATGGTTAGAGATAACAGGATTCTACATGACACCTTCCTCATAATAGATGGGAGTGAAGCTCAGGGAGACTGAAAGAGGAAGCTCAGTAGAATGCCACACCTTGTTAGGAGCAGGCCTGCTTTTCCATACTTTGCTTTTTTTCTGCATCTTTCTACTTATCTGGACCAGTAACAAAAAGAGAATAGAATGCACCTCAAATAGAATAAGTGATACAAGAGTGATATGTGTTCTTAAAACATATGCAAGCTTTTCAGCCAGTCTCAAAGTTCTCTTTCTAAACACATTTATCAGGGTATTGGCCCTTAAATGAGCTGAAGATTTCTCTCTGAACTCATTTTTTCTCACTATAATTATGAACATTTATTAAATCACACTTTAGAATCCCACCATAAGACAAGACTACCTAAAAGTCCAAGGGCCTTCGTGGCTTGCATTCGAATCAACTCAAGGAAAGAACCAAATTTTATGGAAGAAAAATAAAAACAATGATGCATCTGATTAACAAATAATAATATGGAAAATATTACAATTTAT